GTGTGGGAAAGGCAGGGACAACACTGACACTAAAGTTAACTCCGCAATAAGGGATATACCTTTAACTTGCTGGTCTGTCTGATACTTCTCTAAATCTGAACATTCACATTGAGACAGACTAGGAAGAAGGGTTGGCCATCTACTTCTGAAATAGCAGGCCCCTGAAAACCCTATGTAAAAATATAGTGATAGGTAGAGAAAATAGAAATTGTCAACAACTTCATCATCCACAGTCAACGTCTTTAATACCGTACTGGGAAAGTCTGCTGTCAGGGACCTCTCCAAATTATTAAGGAGCAATGATGTCAGTTTGAGGACTAAAGTATGTCTGATTCAGGCAATGGTCTTTTCCATCACTTGCTGTGCATCTGAGAGCTGGGCAATGAATAAGGATGCGGAAGAAGAATGGATGTGTTTGAGCTGTGGTGTTGGAGAAGAGTACTGAATGTTCCATTGGCTGCCATAAGAATAAACATATGTCTTGGAGAAGGTGAAGCCAGAGTACTCCTTGGAAGCAAAGGAGATAAACTTTCATCTCACATACTTTGGGAATGTTGCTAGGAGAGCCTGTTCCTTGGAGAGGGAAGCATGCTTGGGAAGGTAGAGGGACAGTGAAGGAGAGGAAGCCCTTCAACTGGGTGGATTGACACAGTGACAGCAGCTCAAGCGGGTCAGAGATTGTGAAGATGGTACAAGATAGGTCAGGGTTCAGCTCTGTTGTTCCTAGACTCACTATGAGATATATTTGACTAAATGACACCTAACAAGAATTATATGAAGAAATTATAATTTTATCCTTGAGTTGCATACTATAATGTATCCTTTAATCCCATCTATTGATGTAGCTTTGACCATGAGTGTCACTGACTTTGTTTTCTGAATAGAGATACACATTCCACCTCAAAGAAATTAAAAAGGAAGTTTTCAAGGCAGCTGCTCAGTGTTTTTTCATCGGGAGTGCATGCTTGGTTGCCCTCTCTGTTGTTGTTGTTGTTGTTGTTGGCAGTGGTGGTGGTGGTAGTGTTATCTGCCATCGAGTCACTTGTGACTCATAACAACCCTTTGTACAGCAGCTCTAAATCCTTCTCTATCCTGAGCCAACTTCACTGTCTCTGACACACTTAGCCCTATGACCCAAGTCACTGAGTCAGTCTATCTCATCTACAGTCTTCCTCTCTTGCACTGTCCTTCCACCCTTCCAAGTATGATGTCCCTCTCCAAGGACTTGTTCCTCCTTGCAATGTGCCCAAAGTATGTCAGACAAAGCTTCAAAATCCTTGCCTCCAAGGAGCAGCCTGGTTTCACTTTCTCTAGGATTAAGCTGTTTGTTCTCCTATATATATATATTTTTTCCCCTAAAAATACATATCGGAGTATATATTTCTCTCCCCCCCCAAAAAAATGTGACATCAAGATGTATTATTTTTTTTTTTTACATCAAGATTTTAACATTACTTACCTATGAATTAAGAGTTGGGTATATCGAGAAAGTTTGAGTATTTTTCTTCTTTTTATGCTTACCTTTCTAATTTTCCTTCATTATCAATTTCCACAAGAAAAGAAACATCAACCTCAAAACATTGATTGGTAGTTAATTTAGTAGCCAGAAATATTCTGTCATTTTAAGACTCTTATTGTAGTTCAAGAAACTAGTTGTGGTGTTCAGCTGGAGAGGTTAGAATAGGCTGTTCCATGTGTTTTCTAGGAATTTTATATATATTTCTAGGAATAGAGAAGGAATAATCCCAATATTTCACTGCGATCTCCTTAGAAAATACACAGCAAAAGAAAAATTTCTAGTTAGATTGTGGGTGACCTGAGTAAAATGACTTTTTACTTGGTAAAGGCATCATTCTTAGTAGAGGGAGAGTCAAAAAAGAGGAAGATCCTGAGGATGATGGAGTGGCACAGCTGTGGCAACGATGGACAGGAGCCCAGGAGAGATAGCACAGCGCCTGGCACGGCTTCATCATTCACGCATCGGGCACCTCCCCATGGTGGGAATCAACGTGACGGTGCCTGAGAAGAGCAGTTTCTGCTGTTAGAAGTAAACCAGACCAAATCTACTGCTAATGATTCAAAGCCAGCTCATGACAAACCCAGAGGACAGGCTAGCGCTGCCCCCAAGCTTTCTCAAGGCGCACATCTCTGCAGAAACAGACTGCCATGTCTCTGTCCTGGGGAGGTGCCGTGGATGGGATTGCCAACCTTCCGTTCAGCAGTTGTGTGCTTAACTTTCGTGTTCCCGGAACTCCTTATTTCTTTCTAAATAGGAATTATTAAGACCTTCTTTATAAATATGTGTGTATTTGTGGCATCCACTTCCTAAATAACATGCCTCTGAAACTCTATAAACTTTGATAAATGTCTATAGTGGTAGAGGGGCTTCAGGCCTTCTGTTCATAGGGTCGCTATGAGTCATGCTCGACTCAAAGGCAATCAACAGCAGGCCAGTGTTGTTTCTCCATGTTTCTTCCTGTTTCTCCTTGTTTCCATGCTGGACTTCTGTCTCCACTGATACAGCCTCCATTCCTCCCCTTCTTGATTCATCTTAGCATTTAGGTAAATATTTGCCACTTGATCTCATGTACCAAATTTTTTAAGGGACTACATTCTTCACAGGTGTTATTGTTTGTTATGTAACCTGAGTTTATAGTGACTTATTTGACTGAAAGGTGACATGAAGAAATAGTCTCATTCCCAATTCAAAAGGTAATACAGGGCAAAATCCTCTAGGATTCCTCCTGTCTGGATTGGTCCAATAGGCCTGACCTATTTTGGGAATTGGAGTTTGGGTTGACATTTTTATTCCATTTTGTCCAGGACCTTTCCACTGTATCCCTGATATTAAGAGTTGAGAGTGTTAGCTGGGCAGCATCTATTTCTTCAGGTCTCAAGTTAGAAGATAATCATTACTGAGCTATTTATTGTCTTGTGGAAAAGTTTTTTCTCTGTGACTCTCATTTCCTTTTATTCTCTCTTGTTCCATATGAGTAGATACTAACACTCCTACCGAACGATCGGTCACTCACAATCTTGTAAGGTCCCAGATGCTACCCAGGAAACCATGATGTAGAATGTTTTCTGAGAATCATGCCTATTAAATAAGTTATTCTCTGCAAAGACTCCCTGTTAGATGAGCATTTCGTTTTCCATTCCTCAAAGGCACTCATCTGGGTTCCTCTTCATTTTCTGTTTCACAGAAAAATTGTCCTTTGAAATATTTTACCTTCTTTTACATAATAAAATTACTTTTATATAGTGTTTCTGATTAAAATAGCATCTATTTGTAAGCTTAAAGATCTAAAAAAATATTAAAACCACAAAGGAAATAATAAAAGACTCCTAAATCTGTCATCCACAGAGGCACAGTTCTTAAGTGCTGTTGGGCTGCTAACTCAAGAATTGATTGTTCAAACCCACTAATGGGCTCTGCAGCAGTAGGAAATTCTCCATCTCATCCTATAAAGACTGTAGACTAGGAAAGCGGAAAGGACACGTCATATTGACTGTACTCAGAGTCAAAACCCTACCGCTGGCAGCTTAAAATAAAAGCTTTATCTATAAGGAGTCCTTAACTGGAAAAAATTACTAAGCACTTGGTTACTATTTTGTGTGGGTGAAAATATGGATTTAATGACAGTGCATTTGGTTTGTGGTATGCTAACTGAAAGGTTGCAAGTTTTAATCCACCCAGAAGTGCCTTGGTAGAAAGACCAAATTACCTGCTTCTGAAATATCCTCGCCCTTGAAAACCCTGTGGAACACTGTTCCACTTCGATGCACATGGGTTCACTAGAAGGCAGAGTCAACTGTTTGTTTCATCGACATCTATAAAATTGATAACATTCTTTTTTTATTCATTTAAATAAACATTTACAGAGATTTTGGATTTCCATTCGTTCATTGCTGCACTTTTCTCCCTGCCCAAAATTGATAACATTCTTATATTTAAAAAGCAGTAAGATTGTGTTTTAGGTATTTAACTCCTCTGAAAGTCAATTGGACCCATCTTGGTTTCTCTGACATATGTAACATTTGGACTTAATAGTAATGAAAGGTCGTACTCTTAGACTATTGCTTAATCCATATAAAAACACCACTATGGATGTTGTCCTCTTCCTGTGGATTCTAACAGTATTCTTGGGGGTGGAGATGGGCGATTATTACTGCAGCTTGAAAAAGAAAAATAAACATATTCTCTTATCTATTCATTTCCTGCAGGACAGATATCTGTGGATGGATTTATGCGCTATCTGAGTGGGGAAGAAAATGGAGTCGTTTCACCTGAGAAACTGGATTTGAATGAAGACATGTCTCAGCCCCTTTCTCACTATTTCATTAATTCCTCGCACAACACCTACCTCACAGGTATGAATTCAGAATTCCTTGGCTGTTTCTTCAGCCAATCACATCAACCATTTTCAGTGGTTCCAAAATTAAAGTAGATCTCCTCTGTGAAATCCTGAACTTTCAGCCACCAAGATCTCCATTTTACTTTTGTGTCATTGTTTCCTCATAAATTATCTCTTCTTGGAGTTTTCAGTGATTCCAGAACAGATTTCAAAGAGTAGATATAAGACAAGAGATAGCTTGTCCATATTTTGTGGGGTACGGTCTTCAGCTGGAATCCTCAGAATACTGTTGTAAATTTATAAAATAAAGTCCATAAAATGGATGTCATAAATATTAGAAAAACCTCTCTGTGAGAGAATAATAGTTATTGTTGTTAAGTAATGTCCAGTTGGAACCAAACCATCACTGACCCTCCAGCAGGTTTTCAGAGGCAGTGAATAGTACGGGAGTAAACTGCCCATCTTTCTCCCTCTGAGCAGCTGAGAGATTTGAACTGCATGCCTTTGGGTTTTCAGTGCAATTCCTTACCACTAAGCCACCAGCTGTATTGATAGAATAACATAATTTTTAATTAACATAGTTAATAATATCTTGTGACATTCCAATAATTGCAATATGGCAAAGACACATATTCACCAGTACTATGTCCTACAATCATAAATAAAGAAAATACTGAAAGTTACACATTGTTGTTGTTTTTGTTGTTATGTGCCGTCGAGTCATCTATGACTCATGGCAACCCTATGCATAGAATAGTTATGAAACCTGCTCTATCAAGGGCCAATCTCTCTTTCTTTAACACACTTAATGAGGTACCCCAATTACTGTGTCAATCCATCTCATCCAGGGCCTTCCTCTCCTGCACTGTCCCTCCATCCTTCCAAGCACAAAGTACTTCTCCAAGGACTGGTCCCTCTGACAAAATGCCCAAAGTATGTGAGATGAAGCCCAAGGTATGTGAAATGAAGCTTTCAAATCCTTGCCTCCATGGAACAGCTTGGTTTCACTCTCTCTAGGATAGACATGGTAGTTCTCTTGGCAGTCCATAGTATGTTCAGTATTCTTCTCCAGCACCACAACTCATAAGCATCAATTCTTCTTCTGTCCTTTTTGGTCATTGTCCAGCTCTCTGATGCATAACAGGTAATTACAAAGACCATGGCCTAGATCAGACACACATTAGTCTCTATAATGACATCGTTGCTGACCTAGTGGTAAGAATCTCTGCTGCAATCCCAAAGGTACGTGGTTTGAACCCACCAGCTGCTCTAAGAGAGAAAAATGGACCGTCTCCTTCTGTGTGATTATCTACCTCTGAAAAACCAGTGGAGGGTTACAGATCAATTCCGACTCGACAGTAAACAACAACAAAGTTACATGTTGTTGTTGTTGTTGTTGTTTTTGTTGTTGTTGTTGTTTGTGGTCAAATCAGAACCAACTCATTGCTGACCCTCCAGTGGGTTTTCAGAGACAGTAAATCTCGCATGGGAGGAGATTGCCCGTCCTTCTCCCATGAAGCAACTGGTGAATTCAAACCACATGCCTTTGGAATTGCAGTGCAGCTTCTTGCCACTTGGCCATCAGAGCTTAAAAAATTTAAAGATGTACCTTTTTTCTCTCATCTAAATTCAAGGAGGCTCAGGGACCTTCAGATTGAGAATCTTTATTTTTGAACTGAATACAATCCTAAGAATCATACCTTGAAAGACCTTAGCACAGAATGGAGTCTTGCATTTATCATAATTTATTACTTTAAAACTCATTTTTAAAAAATTATTCATTTTCATATAATAATATCTTTACTGCATGTTTCATTCATATTCATTGTGTTTTATACAATTTTTCATTTACTGTATGTTTCATACATTCATATCAATTCTATTTTACATTATTTTTATACTATTTTATTTACAAATAAACTTGTAAATAGACTTCAGAACTCTTAAAAAATATTTAAATGTAATGTCCAATTGAAATTTAATTTCATGTGGTTTGATCTATGTGGTGGTGTTGATGTTAAGTGCCATTGAGTCTAGACAAACCATAGCGACTCTTTGAACAGAAGAAATGAACACTTGTATAACTTTCATCATTTCTCCAAGTTCATGCTGTCCACCATAGGTAACCATTTGATACATCAGTGTTACAGTGTTCAGCATTGCAGCAACCACGAGTTACCTCTGTTCAGCAAATGGACAGACTAGTTCTGCCACTTAGAAGAATGTTTGACCAAAACAATTAAAACCAGGCCTGAAGGCCATAAGCCCAAGGACCTAACCAAATCTCAAAACCAAGGCAAGGTTCACACTCCGTAAGTTCCATCGTTCCACATTCCTCCATAATCCAGCATTCCCATTGGCTCTCCTCACTCAAAGACGCCCATCTGGGAGCACTCCGCTGCTTCCCCAATCTCCTCCTATTCTGATGCCACATGTTTCTTCATATTGTCTAAGTTCTTGAATGATTTGTTCAGCTTAAAGACGGAATACACTTGAGAAAAGGATGCAGTCCTAATGCACATCTTCCTTGATTTTCATCCATTGTATATTCCCTTGCTCTGTTTGGATAACAGCTGCTTGATTTAGGTATAGGTTTCATGTTGCTGTTGATTACCATTGAGTCACGTATGACTCATAAAAGCCTTTCTATAACTATTGTTTCTCCAAGCTCCTGCTTCCCAACGTGTCTTAAAACTGGTGCCACCAAACACTATCCACCATGGGCAGCCATTATGGCTTTTGAAAACCCAGTGGTAAAAGTTTCACAGCAAACCCAGATTACCTCAGCACAACAAAGTGACAGAAGAGTGCTGTACAATTTAGAAGAATGTTCCTCCAAAATACAGTAGCAGAGGATTAAAAGATAATATCTCGAACCCAATTTATTAAATATAAGGGCCCTCCAGAAAGTTTTGTTGACTCTAAACAAGAGGCTTTCATCATCATCATCCAAACCAACCAAAAAAAAAACACAAAACAAACCAAAAAACCCCACAAAATTACACAATGCCCCTCAACCAAAACAAGAGAGCTCATTTTACATTGTCCAGTAGGGATTATAAAAAGGAGTAATTTCACCAATAATTCTTTCAAAAACACTTTCAGGTAATATATTTGCACATATTAGTGCTGATAATTTGTTATATAATGAATGAGGCAGTGATACCAAGGTGATTGAATAACAAGGTGGACTGAAATATACTATGTTTGTCCACCTTCTTTGATGATCTATTCATTTTCCTTTGCCTGCACATCATTACAGATGCAGCACGTTATACTGTTGGTTTTATTGTTTTATATGTGTTTATTTAGTCATTGCCACTATTCTCTATTACTGCTCAAATAGCTCCTTCAGTTTTGGCCACCGGAAGTCTTTTTTTATTTTGACGTCTGTGTTTAACCTCTCACTAGATCTCATTCATCTTTGAAAATGTTCTTGGTTTCTAAAAATCAGGATCTTCCAGGTTCATGTGAATCTTTGTGCCCGCAACATGGAATTAGACCCTATCCCCCCAAAAGAGTCCTGATTCTTTTTAATAGGCAAATAATAGCCTGAGTAGTTTCAATTCGAACCTTGCACATTGTCTCTAGAACATTGTTTCCAGACCATGTCAGTGAACAAAGCAGGAAAAATATTTTCCTTTATTTTTTTTCTTGGTAAAGCATGAGTTCAAATCAATATTTCCAATTCTTTCTTCCAATTTAAATTCTAGCCTGGCTTCCTTCTTCATCCTGATAAATAACAAATTATGTGTAATTACTCGCTTGCCTACTGACAACATGGTAATAGTTCTCAGAAAATTGTTCAATACTAATGCAAACAGTGAAAGAACAGAGTAGAGTTTTCTAAACAAAAAGTTTTGTGCTTTGTTTTTTTTTAATTGCCCTTCACAGGAAATTAATAGCAAACTTATTTCCTAAGGAAAATCGACTTCAGTGCACTAATAAGTGTATTATTTAACAGCAGGTATTTCTTAGAAGGTGAACTTTTCAAGACCGTATGGAGCTGGTGGCTCAGTGGTAAGGCACTGTACTGCCAATGAGAGGCAGGCATTTCGTATCTACAGCCCGATGAAGAGTCTCTCCCAATACAATTTACTGCCTCTAAAAACCCACTGTGAGTCAGCCCTGACACAACAGTGGTCAACAACCAAGTACGAATGATCCATTCAATGTGTTTTCTGAGAAAGAATTAAAAAGTTCAGTCTCCAAAACACTGTATAGTATTTCATATCACCAGCATCTGATTTCTGTTTATGAGTTCTGACTTAATAGACCAATTCTCTAATTATTAAATTTCTAGTAATAAGTAAGCCTATACATTTTCAAATAGTCAATATTTTAAAATATTGTTAAATCTTCTGCTCTTTAATTTTTGTGGCAGGCTTTGTGTCAAATGTACACTACATCCACCTTTTCCTATTACCAGTTGGTCTTATTTCTTGCAACTAAACTGAGAAGAATGCTATATAATTAGAAAACATAGTAATACAGACTTGGAGGCTTTGTCCAGCATCCTCTTTTGACTCTTGAGTCAAAATTCCATCTCGCTTCCTATATTATTATCTATATCCTTGTTCTAATTACAGATTACACTTAAACTAGAATTTCTGTTTTCTGAGGCCTTTAGATAAATTAATTTTTTATAGAATATAAATTCAGAACCTCCAAAGCCAATTAAGAATGTTATAAAACATAGCCAAAGTGTAATAGAATAGAATCCAATTAAATTTGAAAATCATTAGCTAGCAAGTGAATGAAGTTTTGATGCTTTAAGCTATTTCCAAAACAAGTGGAAACATTTTCTTCAGAGAAATTATTTTATAGAAGAGGTGGGAAAAGAAAAATTTTCCTATTCCTATGTTTTTAAGAAATAGTACCTGAAAAGAAGTTTAGAAACTTAGCATGGTACATTTTGAATCTAGAAGGAAAGCTCAGCAATTCGTAATTACTGATTAGGGAACTCTGGTGGCATAGTACACAGGGAGTCTGCTGTTAACCTCAAAGTGACGCATC